TTTGGGCATCTGGTCAGGATACCTCCTGGACGTCTCCCCGGGGAGGTGTTTCGGGCATGTCCTGCCGGCAGGAGGCCCCCGGGTCGACCCAGGACACATTGGAGAGGTTACATCTCCAATCTGGTCTGGGAATGCCTTGGGGTCCTGCCGGAGGAGCTGGTGGAGGTGGCCGGGGAGAGGACGGTCTGGAGCTCCCTAGTTGGGATGCTGCCCCTGCGACCCGGACCCGGATAAGCGGAGGAAGACAACAACGACGACGTTTTCAAGCATGGTTTGAAGACTGTTGGAGGTTGACTTTGGCTTGTGAGAGTGCTCAATAAGCTGTTGCACAGTTGATCGCACTGAACAGCCACCGTTTTTTGTCGTGATTCTGTTCACGTCTAGGACGACCGAAAAATGCTAAGTGTGGTCAGGGCTCAAGACACATCTGCTGGAACCAGAAACCCACATTGCAGGAGAAAACGAGAAGGTACAAACCACCAGTCGTCACTGTCTAGGTCCAAATGTCTTCTGTTGTCAATGACTAAAAATGATGATTTTCTTTTTGGACTCTGGTAGTTTTTCCTAAAGTTGAATTGGTAGCAGACGTCTGTTTCTCGATATATGATATTATTGAGCAGAGAACCTCTCACACCAGTGGTGTTCTGTTGCTAAATGCGTAATGATTGGAGGACCCAGGGAAGTGCAGCATTTCGGCAAGACGGACAACCAGATGGTCCAATAATGGCTTTCGTTCTGAAATGTGTTATTGGCGGAGGTTTTTAAACAAATGCGAGACAACCACTTTATTCATTTTATTCTTTAAAAAAATGTATATATTTATAGCTTTACAATGTTAGAATGTTGTTAAAAGGCATTAAAACATTTTTTACGCTAATTATTTTTCCATATTTGCTGTAGCAGCTTTAAAGAGCTGTACATGCAAACATGCTGCATGCTATCTCAGATGTGTTTACTTTTCCACAGACGGATTTCTGATGGAAAATTGTCCTCGTTGATTCAGTGAAAACGAGACTGATTGTGTGCCTGAAGGGAGTGGGGTGAAAGCCACGTTTCATCAACTATTCATGAGTTTGGAAACACAACTTACGGTCATTTACAGAGGTGTCACTCAGCTGAAGGAGTGAAGGACAAATCCAAGCCCACGGATGAAGAAGGTGAAGGCAGAGAGGGAGAGGGGTGCTAATTTACTCACCTGTAATGCTGACACCTCCATGTTGCGGCAACGACCGACACACACACACACACACACACACACACACACACACACACACACACACACACACACACACACACACACACACACACTGAGAACAATCTGTCATAAAGAGACAGACTTATTGATCAGACACAGATAAACAGAGGATGTGGGGGGACAGCTCTTGCAATTGGATAGTAATCAATTAATGGCCTTTCATTATAGGGATCCTTTAATGGCAGTGGGCTTAGATGATTCACCTTCAAGTAAGAGTAAAGACTTTCAAAATGACTTCAGAGATCACATTTATGGTCCTGTTAGGTATTGTTCAGCTTATGTCCACTTTTTCTTATGATTGACATTTCTAACGGTTATGATCACCATTTTAGGTCAGCTGATGTTCAGAGATTATGTAGATCAGACCACAGCCAGAAAGAGATTTAGACTGTGCAAAATTTTGTTTATGTTAAAATTTGGAAAACAAATTAGCTTGAAACCTTTTTTTGTGCCTCTTAAAAAAGTTCTGACATATTATCGTTTTAAATGTATTGTGGAGGAAAAAAACCAACAATCAAGTGGTTTTCTCGCATTTGTCTAAAAACACGTTTCAGACCAAAAACAACCACCGGACTATCTGGTTTTCATTCAAACTGAACCGCCACATTCCCCTGACTCCTCCACTCGTTACACACACATGCACTTAACAACAGAACACCGCAGGTGTGACAGGTTCTCCGCTCAATAATATCAGAGAAGGAGAAACAGCCGGCTGCTACCACTTCAGCAACAGAAAAAACTATCTCAAACAGTCCCGAAAAGAAAACCCCCATTCGAAGTCACGGACAACAAAAGACGTTTGGACCTAGAAAACAATGACTGGTGTTTAGCGCTCTCTCGTTTCCTCTGGCATCGCAGGTTTCTGGCAGAAGCGTCTCAAGGAAAATACGTGAGGGGAGGGGTGAGTGTTCTTAACCTTTGTGCAGATGGGCTATAACAGCTTCAATTATTGCTCATATTTAACAGAAATATTTTAAAATTAAAGTTTCTACAGTTCAATGCTATAAGCAGTTATTAAATCTTTTTTATACATTTAGTTTTAATCATCTTTATATGTTTTCTGACTTTTAAGCTTTATACATTGTTGTTTTTGTCCTTTTCATTCCTACATTTTTGAATTGTTTTTGTTCTAAAACTTCATTTTTTTGTTGCTTATCACTACTTTAAGTAATCAAATATGGTCATTTAGCCCTAAAGTATGAAAATCAGATAATTTCCTTTAGCCGTCTTGGTTGACATGAATTTTTGTCAACCATAAGCTGACACAGTGGAGCTTATAGTAATTCCTTTTTATCAACAATTATTACCTAACATAAATATTATTACTTTATCACCTTAAACTTTCATAGGACAAGTGAACGTTTGTTTGCACTTGATTTAGCAGTTTTTTTAAGTTGAATAAAAAAAATTAAAGAGCAAAAATAAAGTTACTAAGCTAAAAAATAAATAAATTACATAGAACTTGGAAAACTGTAAAAATAAAATTAAAAAGCAAATTAATTTTATTTTTCAAGTGAGTTCCCTTCAAAATGTTAATAACAACATCATTACTTTCCATCCATCCATCCATTGTCTGAACCCGCTTGTCCATGTAGGGTCGCGGGGGGACTGGTGCCAATGGGCAATCAGGCGGGGTACACCCTGGGCAGAGTGCCAGTCCGTCGCAGACATCATAACTTTTTATATCATTATTTCACATTAAATGTTAGCTTTTATTGTCCCAAATGAATAACTCATGTAAAAAAAGAGAATTTTCCATTTTCTTTGTCTTTGTGTGGAAGCTAAAGGGTTAAACATGTGTTTCATGTATTATTTACAACACAGTTTCATCACAGAGCTGCATTTATTTTTTAATTATCTCAACAACAACATTAGGTCATGAACAATCTAACCAAAAAAAATACAATTAAGCCTCAGAAGTCTTTTACATTTCCTAATGGCCTCTTATCATGTACACTTTGACTTTAAAGAGGTTTTAAATACTCCACTACTTGTTGATTTTATGGGAAACCACATGAAGGCACTCCACTGGAAATCACGGGCTAAGATGTATGTTGAGTAAGCGAACTACATCGTCTCTGCTGCTTAAGTCATTGGTCATTGTTCGTTTGTTGGGGAAAAACAACAAAATCCTCAAATCCAAATGTGGCACAACTTTGGGTCACACAGTTTTCCCGTAAATAACAAAAGTATCTGATCCCAGGATGTCTCTCGCTGTGGCCGTTAGATAGAATTTACACATCGACTGTGTGAGAAACCGGAAGATTGCATTAAAGCAGAAGAGAGGGAAACAACACACATGCTGTTGTTTAAGCTGCAATAAAACAGTAATACAGGAATAAATCAGCCTAAAAGTATTCACACACACTAATGACTTCATTTTTATTCCTGCAGTTTAGTAACACATCATTCAGAACATGTTTCCACTGGTATATTCTGCATGATTTTCCTCGTTGTGGCCACATGTCGAACGCACGTGCTGAGCTCAGCAGGCCGGCTGCTTCCTGCAGACGTGGGTTGGCCTGTTTGAATCTTTGTAGGAAGCTGGAAGGGAGGCGAGAATGAACGGGGGTGGACTTTTCACTCATGCAGGAAGAAAAGGGGGTGGGAATCTGTAGGAAATTGCTGCTAAGTGGTTCTTGAGGCTTTGTGGTTTTGATTCGTCAGGCTCAAAGTGAGTGGATGGTCCTGGTCTGCAGACCTTACAGGGGCTGTCTGGGATGCTGTAACATTAACAAAGAAAGGGTCTGAAGCTTGTGAGGTGCTTTAATGACATTTGGATTTATTGTGTTTTCATTATCTTGTTTTGTGCTTTTTGTAAAAGTTATTTTGTGATTCATTTGGAAAGTGTGACACGCAGTTTATCTCAGTTTGGAGGTCACGTGTGACGCTCCCCACCTTTAGTTTGAATGTCAAACTTTTAAGCATCTCTAACTTACTGTTTGGGGTGTAGAAATAATTCACCAGCTGTAAATAGCTCTTTGAATGACCTCAGTTTGAGTTTGAAGAACTAATGGTTACTTTTAATAAAGATTGATGAGCTAACAGCTAGGGACAGACAGGTGGAGAACAAAGTGGACTAGTTCTAATCTTTTAACAGTTAATGAGATTTTTTTGGGAACTTTGACACCAGTGTTCATTTCATACTACTGATGTAATTTTTAAGAAGCAATGGGGTATTCTTAAGTCAGGTCTACACTGGCGGATCGGCAGCGGAGCATCACTGCTTCAAATAGAATATATTATAGTTTATAGCAGGGCTATTCAATTCCGGGTCTCGTGGTCAGGTATCCAGCATGTTTTGGTTTTAACTCTGATTCAACACGCCTGATTTCAATCAGCTGGTGATTAACAGGCTTCCGCAGAGCCTGATGAGCTGCTGCACAGGTGATTCATCCTCTGAATCAAGTGTGCGGGACTAGAGAAACCACTAAAACGTGCTGGGTTCTGGCCCTCGAGGCCCAGAGTTGAATAGCTCTGGTCTATAGGGTTGATCTAAACTACGCCATGCCACTACAGATAGGACTGGGTTCTATTTTTGTCGTGAGCTGCTTCTAAGACACTCAGTTTCTGCAGTTAACATAAGGCTAGACATCATGGATCCATAGAACCCATTTTGAAAAGAGTGTAAGCGTTGATTTACCCTGACAAAAAAAAAAGACTAGTGAATGTAAAGGAGCACGTGTTTTCCTTAAGCTGGCACAATGATAGGTCTGAGAGTTGATCTTTTCTGTTTTTTCTGCAGGAACTTGATGCCTCGAACCCTGGATGGACAGGTCACCATGGAGAAGACGCCCAGCTATTTTGTCACCAAGGAGGCTCCCAGTCGAGTCTGCACCATGAACTGCCAAACCAAGCTAATCGTAGTGGTCCGGGACCCAGTGACCCGGGCCATCTCTGACTACACCCAGACTCTTTCCAAGAACCCAGGCCTTCCATCCTTCCAGAGCCTGGCTTTGAAGAACTCCTCTACAGGTTTGATCGACACCACCTGGAGCGCCGTGCGCATCGGCCTCTACACCAAGCACCTGGAAAACTGGCTTCAGTATTTCCCCTTGTCCCAGTTTCTGTTTGTTAGCGGTGAGCAGCTAGTGTCCGATCCTGCCGGGGAGATGGGTCGGGTTCAGGACTTCCTGGGTCTGAAAAGGGTGATTTCAGAGAAACATTTCTACTTCAACCAGACCAAAGGCTTCCCCTGCCTGAAGAAGCCAGAGGGCAGCAGCAGACCCCGCTGTCTTGGGAAGTCTAAAGGAAGACCTCATCCTCAGATCTCATCTGAGGTTCTGCAGAGACTTAGAGACTTCTACAGGCCTTTCAACCATCGCTTCTATCAGATGAGTGGGCAGGACTTTGGCTGGGACTAAGAAGGAAGTCTCAGCTATGATGAAGGGATCGATATGCAAGTTATTATAATTCAAGACACAACAAACACTTTTGTTGTTTTTGTTCTGCTGGTTTAAGAGTAAATTCACTCTATCCACACTTTGTTTATAAGATATATTTATCTTTTATGTTGACATAAAAAGCAACAGCTTCAAATTTTATGGAAGAAAAAAGTTATTTATTGTTGAACCATAAAACTGGAATGCTTCCCTGACAGGACATTGAGGATAATGTCATACTTTTACACGTTTAATGCGTTTATAGCTTTTAAAGGGAAATTTGACAAAGTTGTTGCAGGTTATAGTTTATTTTCTGTATTTAATACCTCATGTGTAAATATTGCATTTTAAGTATATGCATATGTTTTCAAACCAAACGTTATATTCTATATTTGTGTTACCTCTAACAGCACAGTTTTTATTAATTGATCATAATAAATTATTTTTTAAATCAATGATTATTTTCGAAACGTTTCATTAAAAAATGATGTATATTGTGTGTGTGTGTGTGTGTGTGTGTGTGTGTGTGTGTGTGTGTGTGTGTGTGTGTGTGTGTGTGATTTTGTAAGTTTTGATGTAAATTTTTACCTAAAATAACATTTTCATTCATTTAATTTGCTTTGAAACTTGTTTATTCTGTGCTCTGGGTGTATGGCGGCATATCAAGACTACCCAGATAAAAAGGGAATTGGCAGTTGGTGGCAGCGGCTGAATGCAACTAATACAATAATTTGTATTTTTATTTGGTTTATTTTGATAGCAAGTAATCAGGATAGTAACTGAGTTACTTTTTAAGGATAAATCAGTAATCAAATTACTTTTTCGAAGTAACATCCCTCCACCTGACTAGCACAAGCCTCACTTACACCTGGAATTTTGGGATCTTTCTGAAGGGAAATCCAAGTACCTGATGTCCAGACTAACTACAGATGGACCATCCTACACACACACACACACACACACACACAAACACACACACACACACACACACACACACACACACACACACACACACACACACACACACACACACACACACACACACACACACACACACACACACACACACACACACACACACCAAGCAATGTGTCCATGGTTACACCGTGATTGCTTAGTAAATATTCTATTTGGCGAGAGATAAACTTAAAATAATAATATGCAGTGGCAACAATTAGAGGGGACCTCTAAATCTAGGGGGACCGCAGGCTGTGTTCCAACTACAGGGGGATCACACTCCTGAGCCTTGCTGGTAAGGTCTGTTCAGGGGTTCTGGAGAGAAGGGTCCGTTGGATTGTTGAACCTCAGATTCAGGAGGAGCAATGTGGTTTTCGTCCTGGCCGTGGAACACTGGACCAGCTCTATACCCTTAGGGGGATCCTGGAGGGTGCTTGGGAATTTGCCCAACCAGTCTACATGTGTTTTGTGGACTTGGAGAAGGCGTTTGACTGTTTCCCTTGGGGGCCCTGTGGGGACACTCCGGGAGTATGGGGTACCAGGCCCTCTGATATGAGCTGTTACGTCCCTGTATGACCGGTGTGTGAGCTTGGACTGCATGGCCGGCAGTAAGTCGGCTCGTTCCCAGTGAGAGTTGGACTCCGCCAAGGCTGCCCTTTGTCACCGATTCTGTACATAACCTTTATGGACAGGATTTCTAGGCATAGCCAAGGTGTGGAGGGCATCCATTTTGGTGGCCTGAGGATCAGGTCTCTGCTCTTTGCAGATGATGTGGTCCTATTGGCTTCATCAGAATGTGATCTTCAGCTTTCACTGGAGCGGTTCACAGCCGAGTGTGAAGCAGCTGGGATGAGAATCAGCTCCTCTTAATCTGAGACCATGGTCTTGATTCGGAAAAGGGTAGAATGCCTTCTCCGGGTCAGGGATGAGGTCCTGCCCCAAGTGGAGGAGTTTAAGTATCTCGGGGTCTTGTTCAAGAGTGAGGGAAAACTGGAGCGTGAGATCGATAGGCTGATTGGTGCCGCATCTGCAGTGATGCGGGCGTTGTACCGGTCTGTCGTGGTGAAGAGAGACCTGAGTCAGAAGGCGAAGCTCTCGATTTTTCAGTCAATCTACGTTCCTACCCTCACCTATGGTCATGAGCTTTGGGTAGTGACCGAAAGAATGAGCAAGATCGCAGATACAAGAGGCTGAAATGAGTTTTCTCCGAAGAGTGGCTGAGCTCTACCTTAGAGATAGGGTGAGAAGCTCGGTAATCCAGGAGGGGCTCAGAGTAGACCCGCTGCTCCTCCACATCGAGAGGAGCCAGTTGAGGTGGCTCGGGCATCTGGTCAGGATGCCTCCTGGACGCCTCCCTGGTGAGGTTTTCCGGGCACGTCCAACTGGGAGGAGACCTAAATGTAGACCCAGGACACGGTGGAGGGACTATGACTCTCACCTGGCCAGGGAAGTCCTTGGGATTCCCCCGGAGGCTCTGGCCCAAGTGGGCCCAAGATCAGAAGCCTGGGCCTCTCGCCTTAGGCTATTGCCCCCGAGACCTGACTCCAGATAAGCGGATGAAAATGGATGGATGGATGGATGGATGGATGGATGGATGGATGGATGGATGGATGGATGGATGGATGGATGGAGATGGATGGATGGATGGATGGATGGATGGATGGAGATGGATGGATGGATGGATGGATGGATGGATGGATGGATGGATGGATGGATGGATGGAGATGGATGGATGGATGGATGGATGGATGGAGATGGATGGATGGATGGATGGATGGATGGAGATGGATGGATGGATGGATGGATGGATGGATGGATGGCAACAATTAGAGGAACGCTACTATATACAAAACATTGTAGGTACTGATCAGAGCGGATCAGTTCAGGTACAAACCCAACACAGGGTCATGTGATGGAAACAAAGCAACTGGAGTGGGCAGTTCTAGGATTGTCATTCATGAGTCCAACAGCAGAGGGGAAGAAACTGTTCTTGTGTCGAGAGATTCTGGTCCGAATGAATCTGAGCCTCCTGCCAGATGGGAGCGTGTCAAAGAGACTGTGTCCAGAGTGACACGGGTCAGCTGTTACATTCTACCTGCACGCCTCAATGTCCTGGAGGCGTACAGGTCCTGTATGGAGGGAAGTTTGCAGCCAATGACCTTCTCAGCAGAGCGCATGACATGCAGGAAGGTCCATTGTACTAGATGGTGACTGAAGAGGTGAGGATGGACCTGATGACTGAGGTGTAGAACTGCCTCATCGTCTGTGCTGGCAGGTTGAATTTCTTCAGCTGCCTCAGGAAGTTCATCCTCTTCTGGACCTTTTCATGATGGAGGTGATGGTGGGCTCCCACTTAAGGTCTTGGGTGATGGAGCTGCCCAGGAAGCCACATGAGTCCACCATTGTGATGGGAGTGTCAGACAGGGTTATGGCGGGTCTAGGCGTTTAGCTCCAGGTCGTTGTGGCTGCACCAGGACACCAGCCATTCCACCTCTATTCTGTAGGCAGACTCATCCCTGCCAGAGAGGAGTCCGATGACGGTGGTGTCGTCTGCAAACTTGATAAGCTTGACAGACTCATGGTTGGAGGTGCAGCCGTTGGTGTACAAGGAGAAGAGCAGAGGGGAGAGAACACAACCCTGAGGGGAACCGGTGCTGATGGTCTGCAGGTCTGAGACATTCTTCTCCAGCCTCACTAAAACTCATCGTCACTAAAACTCCCATCTCTCATCACATCACACCCATCCTCAAACAACTCCATTGGCTACCAGTGCACACCAGGATTAACTTCAAGATTCTCCTTCTTACCTTCAAGGCCATCCATAACCTCACCCCTCACTACCTCACAGATCTCGTTCACATTGTCACCTCGTCCCGTTCCCTCAGGTCCTCCTCCTCCATCCATCTCTCTGTGCCCTCCTTCCATCTCAGCACCATGGGGAGTAGAGCCTTCAGCTGCACCGCTCCCAAACTCTGGAACTCCCTTCCCCCTCTCATCAAGAACATTAACTCATTCACAGAATTTAAAAAAAACAACAACTCAAAACTCACCTCTTCATAACCACATATCAGCTTTGAATTTTAGAGTGCCTTGTTTGTTGATGTTTACGTATGTTTACTTACTGATTGATTTGTGTTTTTATTCTGTACAGTGTCCTTGAGTGACCAGAAAGGCGCTTTTAAATAAAATGTATTATTATTATTATTACTTGCTGCTTCCTGTCCATCAAGAATTCAGTGATCCACCTGCAGATGGTGTCAGGCATGTTCATCTGGGACATTTTGTCCTGGAGGAGGTCTGGGAGGATTGTGTTGAGGGCAGAACTGAAGTCCACGAACAGGATCCTGGTGTAGGTACCCGGGGAGTCCAGATGCTGCAGGATGAAGTGTAGAGCCATGTTGATGGCATCATCTACAGACCTGTTGGCTCTGTAGGCAAACTGTAGGGAGGGGGGGGGGGGGGGGGGGGTACCGAGGTGGGGGAGAACCAGGTGGCCAAATGACTTCATGAACGCGGATGTCAGAGCCACAGGTCTGTAGCCGCTGGTTCCAGTGATCCTTGGCACATGAGATGCTTCTAGTGAGGAGCTGAAAATTCTCGTAAACAATGGGGCCAGCTTTTCAGCTCAGTGCTTTAGAGTGGCAGGAGATACACCAAAGGGGCCGGGGGCTTTTCGTGCCTTCAGAGTCTTGCATTGCTTCCTCACATCTGCTTCACGGATGTGTAGGGTTGTGGTGGAGGTGTGTGATGTGAGGGCCTCCTGGGTGGGGGTGAGGAGGAGGGCGCTGATGGGGGTAAATTCCACAGTGATGGACATAGCATTCATGGACTCACCCATCCTGACTCACAACGGGGACGGCTGTTGCATCCATGAAACAACATCTCAGCTAGTTTAAGCTAACCAACATCATTGGCAACTTCACCACTCAGCAGAAGCTCCTCTAGGCGTGTGTAATTTGTGGAAATAAACATTGCAAGACAGTAGTAGAGTCGTGCTGCTGTTGTGCATATTGAGGCAATATCTCCAAATGTCAGAAAATAAGACTCCAAATCCTGTCGTCTGAAGCTCAGCTGCAACATGGCTCACTTCAAGTTCCTGGAAATGATGCACCAGCACCTTTAATTCCTGAGTACGACTTACAAGGCTTTAATTCCCACTGGAGGCCACTGCAAATGGTAATTTTGAGCGCGGCAACCAGAAGAGTGTTGCTGCAAATCTTTCCTGTCTTTCTGTGGCACCTTCTATTTAACTGTTTGCTCATTGTGAAGCTCTGGCTTTACTTCCTGTTCTGCCATCACTCCAGATAAATCTGTCCTCCCCATCTCTTGTCTCTACCCCTTCCACAGTTGGGGCCACATGTACAGTCCCCTGCATGCAAGCTTTGCAGCCTTTAATTACGAAAGATGTTAGCTCACCCAAAAAGGAAAAAAAAAACTCCTTCCTTTCTGGGCATGAAATTAACAACAGAGCTCTCTTCTTTCATGGTGTGTTTTCTAT